CCATGATGAGAATATTCAATCGGGGTCATTCGTCTAGGCAAGATTCTCGGTGCCTAATAAAGAAGCAAGGATCAATAAAAAGCGGAATCAGTTTAAAATCATTAAAGAAAAGCCGTGGTTATCATGGAAACGAAATGGTACTACAGTGAAAGTTATTAAAAAGTAAGTGGTATATCTAAGATCGATTACTTAAATTGTTGTTATTGCTGTTATTTGTTGGCATGTTGATGGTTTGTACTTTATTAGGTATTATGTCAGTGTGATCGCAATTTTTTATCACCCTTTGATAGCACAGAAAATTTACCGAAAATAGATCTTAAAATTCTTGATTTACTTGAGAATAGATTAAATTTCGCTCGTTTTAAAAAACTCTATTTTTCTTATATTATGCGAAATAGTTTTGAATGGTTTTGAAGTTTGAACCGTCAAGTTTCAAAATTAAAAGGCGTTTCGTGTTTGGTAGCGTTCCAGAACGAGAATTTCACTAGTGTATCGATCCTTTGATTATATGACATATAAATGTTTATTACTTTTTTCCTTATATGAATAATATATTTCATTTCCAATTGGGTTTACATATCATTCAAAGTAAATAGTAACATTTTAATGAAACCTTAGAAGCATTTTTATTTTATTTAACTTTAATTGGAAAGTTATTGTAATGGGTCCGATTTTACAAATTCGAAATTTCAACATATCTCCACGTTTCAAGGTCTTTAGAGTCGAATAGTATGGTTTTAAGAGGATGTCCGTGTGTGCACATATACGTACGTATTTATGTACGTTCGGATTTAATTTTCGCCCCCAGTATCTCGAGAACAAAGAGCAATATTGACATGAGAACAGTTTCATTTAACGCACAATTATGTAACTTAGAACTCATTAAATTTTGAGCAAAATCGGTCAAGTCGTTTTTTGTGCCGAATGAAAAAATTGTATAAAATATTAAAACATGATATCTTTTTATTCTTTCCACTGGGAAGTTAGTCGTGTGGACCTTTCGGGTCGCAACTGGACTGCTTTTTATTTTTTGGACCTGAATTAATATTAAATCGCTTTGTATTAACACAATCCATTTTACAAATTATTTCTTATTTTTATGTTTTTTCCATTTCCAATTCTAAATTGTAAAAGGTGCCAGTTTCTTATATTTTGATTCAGATACATAAACATTTTCACAATTTTTTTTTACAAAACTCCCTTTTTTAAGAAACAAAAAATATAATCAATTTCAAAGGCAAGGAAAATTATATAAACTGAAAGGATATTTCGATTTAGGATATATATACTAGATTTATCAGATAGAGGAGAGGACTTCTGGATAGAATTAGGAACAGCTTCACAGTTTCAAAAATCTGCACCAATAATATACGTAGTGCACGTATTTGCTATAGAGTACAAAAAACGTAAACCTTCTTAATGATCCGGCAGGACATTCTACATCGTTAACTAATTTCACCTTATAAATTTTTCAGCAACATCTAGTGTTCAATCAATTACAACACAATAGAAAACACCACAGACAACTAGATGACAACTAAACTAGAAGACAGCGCTATCAAAGAAACAATGACATAAGTTATTGTTAAAATTAATATCATCTGTAAATAAATATTATCTGAATCGTACAGGTGCCAACATTTAAAAAAAAATACACGAACTTTGTCTTCATTGTAGAACTACTTTCATATGCATATCACTATGGTTGAAAGATGCAATATTATTATATCAAAATAAATTTAAGATTTCTATGACGTATAGAAATAGCTTTATAAGACCGTTGTAGCTCAAACGTTAAGAATTAAAATGTAAAATCCGTTGTCACCCCTGGGATGGAATGGAATGTCTCAAAAGATAGAACAAAATGCCTTGTTACCAATAAAATAAAAAAATATTTTAGATTTATCGTAATTCTTTATTTTATTTTCAAAACCAACCTAATAACATACATACGTATGTCTCACAGAAATTAAACTGAAACGATACGAATCGTACGCACAATAAAAGTGATAAGGGTCGAATTTATCTCTGTTTCCAGATTATTCGACCACAGTCTGGTCACGTCTGAATATTCAATGAGCAAGAATAGTGACGGTAAAGTATTGTACGCAGGCTGTGACTGAATAACTAAAATGTGTAAATAGTTATACATTAATCTAGTATTCCGAGCGCTGCCCAACCGAATTAGATCCGAATTCAGAAATTCAGGACTTAGTTCTTTATTTTTTTTTCTTTGACTTATCTTCTCATTGCATTTAAAGATGAGCATATAACCAGTTCGTGTTGCCAGTGATCACATATGAATCTAAGACATGTCGCTTCACGTCTGGGCGTACGAGGATGCTCAACGTAGCTCAGCGAGCTATGGAGAGAGCTATGCTAGGAATTTGTCTGCGTAAAAGACGTAATAAGGTTATCCGTGGTAGAGCCAAAGTAGATATTTCCTAACGGAGAGGTAAGCTGAAGTGGAAATGTGTTGGCCATATGACTCGTAGAACCGACGACTGATGGGGAAGGAAGGTTTTCGAGTGGCAGCCTAATACCAGTAAGCAAAGTGCCACATCCAAAAGTGCTTAAAAAAATCATACGTTGCTGTGTGTACGTTGGTGCTGAAAAACAGAATCATACGTTACTTTGTGGAGATCCATTATATTAAATATGTTAACACGTTCGCTGCGGCAACTATTTGAGACATTATTCCCCCAGTGCGTTACCAGATCTATAGGCCTTATACCTAAGCTTTTCACCGGTGCGTCAATGGGCCAATAAACCTGGTAAGATATGGGTCACTTCAAACTCTAATAACTCTGCAAAAACTTTTGATATTGAATATTTTTTTAACTAGGTTATTGAGAAAATGTAAGCCTATCTTATACTAGCGTCGCAAATTGCTCCGATGGCTAATTTAGAAAATATACAGAAAAACAAACATAAGGCTTATCGACCCATTACCGCACCTAGGTAATGGTATAATTGGGATAATTTTAGTGATGGGAAATAACATAAGTACAGAAATATCGAGATCAACTTTATTTTATTATTAACTGTTATCTGTTATAGATGATTTTCGTAAAAACATTTAGCGCAATATCCCTTGTTGCACTCAGTGCAATACGATTTAATTTTTTTGGTTTTTCTTTGAGCATCTTTGCTATTTAACATTGCACGAAGCTTATTGTAACAACCCGCACAATTTCTTCTTTTTATTCCTTTGGTTTCGAAGGTATGATTCGTCTTTGGCATAGCAGCACATTCATTAGCTGTAATAAAAGAAACAAATTAAATAATAAACCAAGAGAGGAAACGCCGTGTGAGATTGTTGCTATTTTAAAGCTAACTTTATTTTAAAACTTAACAACTAATAAAAACTAGCTTTCTCCGAGAAAAAAATATAAGGTTATTGTATCAGTATTAAATTACAGTTAAGTATTTTATTATAATTTTTAGTTATTTTTTTTCTCAGACAGAATATCTTTACCTAGTGCTAAATATTACGGAAAAATATATTACTTGTTTCTGTTAATATCGGCACCTGAGTCAAAGCTTCTATAATTGCTTCCATAAAATTCTTCTTTGGCATTTGAACTGGTTTTCCGTGATTGTATAATACCCAGCTGTTTATTATGACTGTTCCAAATAATATCTCCATCATTACTTTTCTGAACCATTTCACGCTTCTTTTTCAAGCTAGAATAATATGAAGACATTTGGTCGTTAAAATCGATGCCTTTTTTTATTCTCATTGTATGTTATGACGCATTGTGGTTTTTTTAATTATGTTTCCAGTGATTCGGTTCGTCTTACCTGAAAATGAGATAAATACAAGTTAAAATATTGGTAGATACAGTGTACCTATAAATTTATTCAAGTTAAATTTCTCAAAATTTGTAGATTTTATCGCGGGCGGATACTAGTTTATTTATAAAAAATACTCCTAATTTCTCAAATTTTTATCTAGTTATATTTTGTTTTTATTTTTTGCGTCATATGTATTTTTAATTTATTCATTTTAATAATTATGTAAATAGCTAGTTATAATGCTTTAGTGTTAACTGTAATGTTACTTCTATAAATAAATAAAACAGAAAAAATAACTAACATCCTTATCTAAAATGACACATATGTAATACGTACCTGTAAATTTAAGAGTCAAATTGTGATTTCGGCACGTAAAAATCATATGAACCGGTCTCTTGTCTGTCCACTTTATAACTCTTACCCCATTTGGGTTCATTTTCCCTACTATTTGACCTCGTTTCAATTTTATGGATATTATTTTCTTAGGATTTCCTTTCCGATTTGGTCTCAGAGTACCACACATGAAGGTCTTTTTACGTATAAGTTCTTCCGCAAGATCAATGGAATTGTAGAAATTATCTGTTATTATTATTCTTCCATTATTTTCTAATCCTTTTATTAATCTTAATACTGTTTCCTTTCCATGATTAGTTTCTTGACCATTATCTCCTTTACCTGTATATATAATACAGTTTCTTGTGTATCCTTCTGGAGTGCAGAGCTTATATAGTTTCACTCCATATTTGTGGGACTTGTTTTTAATGTATTGGCGAAATTTCAACCTCCCTCGCCACGGAATCATACTTTCATCTATGGTAAGATACCGACCTGGCTCCAAAAGGGTTTGCATTTTTTTAAAAATATTATTAAAAGTATCCCTTATCTTTTTCAATTTGTCTGTGTCGTTAGGTGACTCTTGACTAAAATGCCAAAATTTCAAAATTAGCAGAAATCAATCTCTTGTCATAACTGAACTAATGTATTTATTATTGTAGATGTTTCTTTTCGACCAGTAATCATTTAAACGTGGTATTCTTACAAGACCCATCGCCAGTAGCACTCCTAAAAATTTTTCATCTACTCTGGAGTTGTAGGAGTCCAGGCTCGCAAGCGTGATTTAGGCTTAAGATTACTTAGATTACTAATAAGATCTTGTGCGTAATTGTTTGTGTTTATTACCATTTGCTCAATAATTTCATCTGTTACAAATGTAAAAATAAAAAACTGTAAAAATCTGCTGGCGTTATAGTATTATCCGGAATGTTCGGTCTACAATTATCTATGAATTCATCGAAATCAGGTTTTGTATCGTTAATGTCTTCCCACTCATTAAAATTATTGTTTTCTGTACATTGAGTATTTTCAAGTATTTGAACTAATTCGGTTTCAGAACTGTTTTCATAGTAAGTTATTACGCTATCATCACCATCACTATCGTCGGAGTAAGAAGAATCAGTTTCTAGGTCAGACGAGTTGGGAGCATAACTATCATCAGATGAATCGGGTTCAAAATCTTTAGCAGAATTTGCAGGAATATTCAAATATGTTAATGAAATTTGTTCATTTTGCGTTTGAGTGTCATATATTGCACAGATTTTCTCGGAAGGGTTGGGAGTATAATTGTTATTAGATGCATCTGTATTTAAATCTTTACCATAAATTGTAGAAATATTCAAATTTGTCAATGAACTTTGATTATTCTGCGTTTGGGTGTTATATATTGCACAGATTTCCTCGTTGGATAGTGGGCATAATTAGGATTTTGCACATGAGATGTCACTAATAGAACTAGTCCTGCTTGTACGATTTGATACGTTCGGAGTTACTGAGGTTTATTTTCGTAAATTATAATAATTGCGGATAGGAGTTGCAAGTCCGTATTCAGCGTTTTCCAGTACATGAAGAGTATTGCCAGTACTAGGACTAACATAAACATCGTTTTCTGATTTTTGTATTTTCTTTCTTTTAGGCGTAAAGTCTAAATAAGTCTTTCTAACTTGAGGACTTACCTGTATTGAGCTATCGTGTAAAGTTGAACTGAAGCTAGGTTCTTGAAAAGCAATAGATAAACTGCAGCGAGGTTCTTGAAAAGTTTTAGTTTCACTGCTTGTAGAAGCTGGCTTAACAATAACATCCTGAAGGATTTGAATTTGTTTTTTTTTCTTGTAAACTGGCACTGTTATTTTGGTCCACCACTTCTTGAGCATTTTGAAAAGACAGCTCGAGTATTTTCGACAACGTTTATTGACTCGATGCATTTTTTATGAATCGTACGCACATGCATTTGTAAAAGCTGTCAACACAACACTAATTAATTTTGACTCTTCAATCAGTGCGGTATTAGGCCGATAGGCATTGTAGTTTCCATAAGGCCTATGGGCCTTGTATCCGCACTGAATGTCAATTTTTACTCTCCAGTGCGGTATAAGGTCGATGGGCCTGATACAAATATTATTATTTAAATGAATAGCCATTGAAAAGACGATCTTAAATATATACTTGTCTTTATCACTTATAGAGAAATCTTTAAGTTACTGCGTTCGCACCAGAGGGAGAACGCTGTATTTTCGCTCCGCACCGACTGCAAGTTCATGTATCAGGCCTATAAGCCTTGTGCCGCAGCGAACGTGTTAAAATTATTCATCTGATATCCACACATAAATAAAAGTGATGTGTCATAATTACTCTAAAGAGAACCTTCCTCCCTTACTCAATAGCGGCATAAGAGGCAGCTGAATTTAGTAAATGGCGCAAATACGAGTCTTTAAGAAATGACTACATATTTGTGCCTCTTGCTGTAGAGACTATCGATCCGTGGAGTTCACGTGCAGTGATGTTCCTAAAGGAACTGTTTCCACAACTGGTCGTCGCTGCTGGTGATAAGAGGGCTGGTTCTTTCCTCGCTCAAAGGCTAAGTGTAGCTATTCAGCGATGAAATGCAGCCAGCGTTCTTGGCACTATACCACGGGGAGCAGGACTTTTAGACAATATACATTTTTAGTTTTAGTTTTTCTATATTATCTGGGGGCACGGCAGTGCCCCCGTCAAGTCGAGCAAAAAAGTGGCACGGCCGTACCATACTTTTCCCGAAGCAATTCAAGCCATTTTCGACCACCTATAACTTCGTAGTGGATAAAACTAGAAACCTGGTTTTCAGCAACCAAGTAGAAATTGTACAAACATAGTATATTTCAAATTTCATTCAATTTGAACCAGTAGTTTAAGAATTATAACTAGTCAGTTTCTTAATTTTGTCACTCACTGACTGACCGATCATCAAAACTCTTAGGCGCTTCTAGCAGACATAGAAGATTCAAATTTAGAACACGGTTAGGGTTTAGTGTATAAATCAAGGAAAAACTAAAATATTTTTTAATTTCAGTCCAGTTTTCTAGATACACCAACTGCATAAATAACTTTGTAATCCTATATAAATATATAGAATTACAAATCTATATTTGCAGTGAATGAATCAGTGTACTTGTGTATGTATAATAGGTGTAGATAGGTACTTTTTTGGTATTCAAGAAGTAGAAGGTAACGGAAAAGAAATAAAAGTAGAACCTATCTACAAAAAGAAATGAGATGACATCAAAAACATAACTTGTAAAAAAAAACCAAGTCTCGCAACTCAGTTCTACTAACGTAAAAAGTTGTGAGATCCATGTATACCAAGTCGGTTAATTTATTCAGTGCTTAGAACTTAAAGGTCCTTCAGTTTTAAGTTATTATTTAATTAGCTAACCTAATAACATTTTACAGTGACCATACCAATGTTAAAGATCTTTTTATATTTTAAATATATTGATTGTCTTGGCAATCGCACTAAGCAATATAATTTAATATAATATGTATTACTTATGAGATACATTGCGTTTTCACTATTTCGTATTACATCAAGAAGTTGTCATCATCAAAGTCAATATTTAACATCAGCAGTTAAAAAATTTCACAATATTAGGCCGAAAATAGTATGGCATTTTTATGAGTAAAAATTAAAACACATGAAATATTTAAAAATAAATTCCAAATTGAAATTATAACTGCACTTTTCTGCATTGAAAAGCAAAATCACACTCTACCTAGTATTTCATAAAACGCTTGCCTCGTTTTATGAACAACTTTCAGACATCAAACTCTTTGACGCAGAATCGCTGACTGGTTGGAAATACCTGGCTACGGCAGTATTACGTTTTGTAGATTGTGAATTGAATAAGAGTTCCATAAACCGCAAAATTTCACTTTTATTATTCTTTTTATATTTTAGTAGATTTTTACCGTGTTGTGGCTTAAGAAACTTCAACAATCGTTTCAATCTTGTCGCTGTAAGGATTTATCTATGCATTTTATTTAGTGGGTGCCTTAACATGCATCTATGAATAATCCAAAAAGAATATTGAAGAAAAAAAAAAAGAAAATCCATAGTTTTGCCGGAAATAGGTATAGGCATTCTAATCCTACCAAGAATGATTACAGAGAATACTGTGACAGATTATCCACTTAAACACCTCTTCAAGATAAAAGAGAACTTAACCCTCTCAGAAATGAGGGGAGGCCTGTGCCAGCAGTGGACCGTATATAGGCCGTAACTTTAGTTTTTACTTTACAACCTAGTCTTAGAAATCAAACGCTTGAAACTTAAACTTGCTTAATTTAG